TAAAATATTGAACTCACAACACTGGTAATTACAAAATTACAAACTTACCATTTATCTTTCTATAAATAGTGCTTGTGTTGATGGACGCCATTTTGAAATACAATGAAATTATCTTTTTCAAAGCCACACCTCTACATATGTCATATGTTTGAAAAACCCAGGATGTCCTCTGTGGAGTACAATTGGACTTAATGCTGTGGCATGTATAACCTCAAAGTAATGGACCAAAAACCAATGTGCACCACAGAGGACAACAATGAATGGGTGGGTCTCTGGAGGATAAATCATAATGTATACATAAACAGATGTGTTATTACAACATTTGTAACACTTTCATACATCTCCATATTACAGTAAGATATTTTATTCTGCTGTACACAACTTTATTGTATATTCTGTTTCTTTTTTTCCAATTATATATTTGTCTTTTGTACAATGTATTCTCTTAATCTCAGTTAATTTCCACGACTGGGAGTATCAGTAAATAAAAAACAACAAATAAACATAACTTTCCTCACCAAGCTGCCATGTTTACTGTTTACAGAGGAGAGAGTGTGTGTGTGTGTGTGTGTGTGTGTGTGTGTGTGTGTGTGTGTGTGTGTGTGTGTGTGTGTGTGTGTGTGTGTGTGTGTGTGTGTGTGTGTGTGTGTGTGTGTGTGTGTGTGTGTGTGTGTGTGTGTGTGTGTGGACTGTAAACCACTCTGAGGCAAACTTGTGACTCACAGGGCAGCAATAAAATCATTTGTTCTCCTCTCCCTCTCTGGTAGGCCTCGGCCCACTCAGTGTGTGTCAGGGTCTCTAAACCACCATTCACAATACTCACAGCTTTTATAATGTAACAGACAGACAGACAGACAGACAGTTGGTGGAAGAATTAACTGCCTGTCTGAACTCCTCACAAACTTCTTCTTCTAACTAAAACACGCCAGTTTCTATTATATGTGTGACTAATCTCTCCGGTGCCCCTCCTCACCTTGAACCGCGGCCGTTGACATCCATCACCTGCCGGCATCGGGCTGCAGCTCCTCCCGACGACCACAAACAGATCCACTATCAACGGATTTAAAACCAACAAACAAACACTGAACTGAGATTAACTGTTTCCAACTGCTGTCACGGATCCGGTGAGTAAAAAACCGACTTTTTCTCTGCTGTAATAAGTCAAAAGTAAATTTAAGTGCCAAGATTAAAGCTGAACAACATACTGTAGAGTCGCTGTGAAAAGCCAACTTTCAAGTAACCGTCAAGCGCGAGGACAGATAACTTTTTCCGGTGACGCCTTCAAAATAAGAGCCAATATTGGTCAGCGAGTGGTGGAAAGAAACTACATATATTTTACTCCACTAAACTTAAAACAATTATATACATGTGCTCATATGTGCTACAGGAAGTTTAAGTTATTGTTTTATTTTCTCCCTTGCAGCTATGTCCTTCTACCATGCCTGTTCTGCCTTTTTTGTAGTGATGCACTGAATGTATTTTCTTGTCATGTCACCTGTTGAAGAATAGATTTTTTAAATAACAAAAATAAGTTAAAACAATTATTTTTTTCCCAGTGTTGCAGTTATGTAATCATTTTTTAGATACTTGGGACTGAGTGACTCCATGTTCCATTATACTCCACTATAGAAATAGTACCTTCTATTGCGCTACATTGATTTTAAAGCTTTCTTTCATTTGCAGATCAAGAGTAATAATACGAAATATAATTATATCATACAAGATAACTTATTATATATGAATCTAAGGATATATATATATATTCCTGAGTACTCAAAACTAAGTAGCCTACTCATTTACCAAATGCAACATTATGGTTAACTAGAGAATGCAATTCCTGAAGAAATTGCTAGTGGGAATGCTTTATGCTGAAAAGCTGACGCTAAACTGCTATGCTTAAATGTAATGTGTAAGAAGAAAGTGAAGAATTTAGATTGAAATGATACATGAACACTGGGGGCTTGAATAGCTGCGTTCACACCAAGTACTTTGCCGTACTCATTGCCGGCACTCAGTGCCCCGGCACTTATTACCCCAGGGCACTTAGTACAGATCGTGTTCACACCGGAATAAATTCCCTGAGGGAAGATTACGCAAATGAGCCGCTGACGTCACTTCGTCTTCTTCTGCTTTGGGTTTACTGGCAGGCCGCAAACAACTTCACGGCGTATACTGCCACCCGGAGTCCCCGGCCGGAAGTCCCCGGAGTTGGGGACTGGCTTCAGTAGAAGCTGCTGGGACTCCCAGCAGCTTCTACTGAAGCCTTCCGAGTAAATCGCCAGAACGCCGACACCTCCTCCGCTCCCATGTTTTATTTTGTGTTGCCATAAGTTAGTCTCTCTGCATTTGTGCGCTGGGTGAATGCTAATGCAAATAATGCTAATGCGAGGATAATAAAATGGCGGCTCTACAAAACATTTGAGAGTTTTACGGGGCGTGGTTTGCAATTCACCCAGCCAATCAGAACTGGGGCACTTTTTTCCCCCAGGAAAGTACCATCTCTCAGCAGGCACTAAAAATGGGGGTAAAAGTTCCCGGGATTAAGTGCTCTTTTTGGTGTGAACGCGACATAAGGGTTACTAACGGAACTAAACGCGAAAAGTACGGTGAAAAGTACTCCGGTGTGAATGCGCCTAATGTGTGATGAGAGAAGAAAAGAAAGTAAAAAGGCTTGGAAAAGCAGCAGAATATTTGAACTGCAAACTTTTGAACTAACTTGATGGTGAATGATCTGTCGCCATGCCAACGGCATTTGATGACATCCCATAATACGCTTAGATGCGTTGATGGCTGCATCGTTACCAAACCTGTGAAGTTTTGGGCCATTTGGAGCATTTTCACTGAAGTTATGAGAAAACCGTGTTTCATGGCGAGCATTGTGTTGCCATGGCAACGGCATTTGAAGAAATCTCAAAACTGTCCCGTAGATGTCTTCACGGCTGGACTGTTAGCACACATGTGAAGTTTTAAGCACTTTTTGAACATTTTCATAGGAGTTAATGTATAGCGACATCGTCTTTTATGGCGAGGGATGCGTTTCCATGGAAACGGCATATGATGACACCCCATAATTGACGTAGAGCTGTTGAGGGCAGGACCATTAACCATTATCTGAAGTCTGCTGCTCTAAGCATGTCAGTTGGAGTTATGACATCATCGTGTTCCATGACACAGGTGTTTATATTTGAGCTAACGACGTGTCCAGAGATCAAAGGTTTCCATTGTTCTGAATGAGAGATAAACCTCTTACATGTGAACGTTTTGTTGAAGAACCGTAACAGATATCGGTGAAATTTCAAAGCGTGAAGCATCTCAAGGACCTTGAGTATCTGAAGTGTGCTTTTTGTGTACTTTCGGGTCAATAATGTGGCCTTTTTGGCAGATTAACTAAAGGTGTGCGGCTGCTGCTGTGAGGAAATATCAGCCTGAAATTACAATGGGCTTTAATGGAGACATGTTGAAAGTTTTTGTCACTTCATGCCCTCAAGAGGCATTTTGTTTAATTATTTTTTGCTTAATTATTTGTCATTTTTCAAGCTACGAGATGTTTTCCTACATTTGTCATGAAAAATTATGTCTCAGGAATGTAGGGTTTGGGAATTATGGCAGTTTAAAAAAAAATATGAAGGCAAATTTCAAGATTTCCTACACTCTAGCTGTGAAATCACGCACTCTAGTTAATGTTAAAATCTGAAGAAGGCCTCTTTACCAAGGTCTGAACAATGTTTAATATCTCTAAAAGTATGAATCTGATTTAAAAGTTGTTTAATATGAATAATGGCAGAAAGATGTGTAACATTTTAAAGTTGGAATGAGGTTTCTGAGTGAAAGTATGAAGGAACAGTTAGCAGTTGAAGTCGCATGAAGATTGTTGAAGTCTGAAGATTTTCTCCATTGACTTCAATGGTTAAAAATGTGATGAATTATGGGATATATCTCGGGAATTATGAAAGTTATGAATGAGAAAAGTAATAGCAATCGATTCCCGACCAAGCTGAACGTTTTGATGTTTGAACGGAGTTTCTGCGATGTGGAATGTGAGAGAAGAAGACCGGCAAAATAACGGGCGGAATAAAGATTTTGAAGAACAGATAGTTGAAATGCTGTATCAGCATTCCCACTAAATAACATATAGTTGGAATGCTGTATCAGCATTCCCACTAAATAACATATAGTTGGAATGCTGTATCAGCATTCCCACTGAATAACATATAGTTGGAATGCTGTATCAGCATTCCCACTAAATGAGTACTTAGTTTTGATTCTTTAAGAATTTTGATGCAGTTATGTTTGTTCCACTATAGTCCTGTGCTAAGATAATACGTTTTACATTTATTACACATTACTTAAGGTACCAAAGGGGTTAAATGCTGTCCAAGCAGCCATCCAAGACTAAATAAACAGAAGACAGTCTAAAATTGAAAATATATCAGTGCTACGGACACAATTGTCTTTGCAGCAAAAATAATTAAGGTTGAGTACCGAGTTTAAGATAGGACAACATTTGAAAAAGGAAAATTATTAGATAAATAGATAATGAATTAATATTTACAGCCCGTCTCCAAACAGTGCTTTTATTTTGAAGGTAGACCTGTGCTGTCTGTGTGTTTTGGAGGCTTCTGTTGTTTTAAGCATTGACGCTTCACAGATCACACACTATGGAGCTGTCTGATGGTTTCATATCAGTGAAGTAAGAGTGTGTTTTACTGTAAGAAACTAAAATGTGTTAGTCAGCTTGAAGCATGTGAGAAATGATCACGAGCTGAAAGCAATATAAATACCGTGTCTAGCATGTCCTTATGAATTTGTATTGTCCTAAAGTATTTATCCTTTCCTTTACCAGATCAGCTTTTTTTGTGACAGCTTTGTGACTAGCATTAAATCAAAAAAAATATGCAGGGATTAATTTTCGCCTCTTGTGATCTTGTTTGAGGAACTACAAACAAATGTTTTATAAATATAATAACAAACCCTTTAACACTCAAAGAATGACAAAAAGATGAAAAGACAAACATTTTATTTGATGAATTTATCTATTTCCTACATTAGGGTACTTTAAAACAGTACATTACTATCAAACGTAGAGAGAATAGTAAAACAACAGACTAACTCTATCAAATTGAAGCAGAACAGACATTTCCAGGGTTAAAATAAAAATAAGAATACTATTTACAAGTAGGAAATGCTGAATCTTCTCTTCCAACATACTCAACCATGCAGAAGTCGTCACATAAAACATTTGAGTAGGAAAATAAAAATACTTTATAAAACTTTAAACACATGGTGGTTCAAACCACAAGAAACGTACAAAATAACTTGGAAAAAAGTGTATGGAAGCTCATTTGCAAGGACTTAGTCACAATTATGAGATATGTAACAGTGATTAAGCCAAATGCAAAGTTATGAAGGCAGATTATTACTATCTTCTTCCATAACTTGAACTGTATCGCATATTTATTACATAGTAACCAGAAAATGTGACATTTCGTAATTTTATTTGACAACATTTAATGAATTTATCTTTCTTCTGGCATGAATGGGCTTCCATACAGTATATGCATCTTCAAAGTGGTTTTAGTAATAAGGATTTTTACAAAAAAAGTGTAACTTTTCATAATGCCCTCCTCATCGCTGCTTCCTGCAACAATGCTAGATAAGAATTTAACAAGAAATACATGACTATAAATGTAACATTAATATTGAATACTTTAAAATATGTAACCACAAGCTTAACAATGTCCCCACAGTGATCAATACGTTATACCACCAGCTGAATGAGTCTGAATTGTATGTTCTGAACTTGTTAATTGGAAAGCAGAGAAAAACTAAGAATTTCACTTCAATACATATTCCATAAAACTTGTCCAAAATATGATATCACATAAGCAGGATTTAGTACATTTCTGACAGTTTCTTTAATAGTTATTTTTTACAGTTGAATGATTTGTTATTAGGCAGTTGTTATGTTCGTATTTGCTGCTTTAAGGGATGAGCATATATATGGTATAATATCCTCAGAGTTGCAGATTTTCTTAAAGAAATCTTTGTGGGTAATCACAGAAGATCAGAAGATTCTTGGATCCTGTTGGATGTTTCTCCCGGGGAGCTTCAGAACATGTTTGTGGCATTGTGTTTTTCCACGTTCCCGCATCAAAAATTGCCTGAACATCAATTCATACTTGGGCCAGCTGTCAATCAATCACAGTGCTGAGGCAGTCTTTGGTTTGATCTGGTCAACTTAGCCAGCACCTGTAGATCCAGTCCTTCAAAAATCATTCAGGCAGTGCCAACGAAGTACCGTAGTATCCGAGACACTAGTGTAGTACACGCTGTAGCTGGTTTTACCATTCTTACCACAGTTACCTGCCTCATTTGTACTGCATGGTTCGACATGTCTCACATTTGGTACCAAGTCTTTTTTTTGCATTTTGTTTCCAGTGCTGGTAGCACCCCCCCTCAGTACAAGCAGGATTCTCAGCTGTTCCCCACACTGCGTGAAATCTGTGACATAATTTTCTATGCAATGTTTGCTGGATAATGGCAAAAAAAAACAAGTAACGTATGTCAATTGTATTCTGTGCTGTACTGTAATAGTTTTGCAGGCTGATATTTCTTATTTAAATTATGGTTAGAATGACTCTGAAGGAGAGAAACTCCCTCTGAAGGGAACTTGGGGATTTTAGCCTTTGCAGACCATTTACATGCACAGAAACCTATATAACACACTACAGGAAAGGGAAAACCACGCATAGCATAATAGGGCCTCTTTAAGTCAACGTTCTAGCATCGGCACAGCTCACTTAGAACCAGTACCAAGTTGGTATCATATAAATTACCAAGTAAAATAATGTCTGAAATTTGAAAACGATAAAAAAAAGAGGTGAGGTGAGACATCTTGGCATATCATGCAGTGAAAATGACGCAATAGTAAACAAGTTTTAGTGGTTACCATAGTTACCAGGGAGGTAAGTCACATAACTTAGTGGTTGGCGTTGTTATCATTGTTCTAAACACCTAGCACTTACAATAGATACCAAGGCCAAGAGTTCTAAAACGCAATAACTTCCAGGAACAAAGGTTCTGCATGCAGTGGCTACCATAGTTACTACGGAGCAGGATCTTCCACAGGTGAACCACTGCAGTGCCATTGAGTTAATTCCAGTATCATTTCCATGACTTTTAAGATAGGATTCAGGTCCGAGGCCAATTCATTTTTGGCTCTGTTATGACATCACTGGGCTGGTCCCCTACAATGTGGCCACAGGTGCGAGTCCGTCGGCGTGCTCCAGGTGGTGATGGTGGTGCAGCTCCGCTTTACAAACTGTAGCGGCGCTGCAGCGGAGCGACGTCACAGCAGGCGGCTCCTCGTCACCTGAGAAACACAGGGCCAGGAATGAGTGTCATGAGTCCCAGGGGGAAATGAGAGCAGAATTTGTCACTTTGGATGCTGTTAAATACTTAAATGGGCCCTATTATGTTTATTTTCAGGTTCATATTAGTATTTTGTGTCCTGCCCCTTAGCCTATCACGTGCAATATGTTTGAGCGCTAGCCAATAGAAGCACAAGTGTTACATAGTGATGTTATTATGTCACAAAGGAGTCCAATGGAGGCGTTTCAGGCAGGGGGGAGTGTGTGGGACAGAGATGTTAGCCTTTGCAGACCATATACATACACAAAAACCTATATAACACACTACAGGAAAGGGAAAACTTCAAAAAGCACAACAGGGCCTCTTAAAGGAACATAAGAATATAACACTGGTGATTTAAAAGATAATATTGATACAGATGTTATACTATCTTCTTCAAAGTTACAACATTCACGTGACAACGTGGCACTTACATAATGATCATACATTAGTCGCATGGTATCCTTATGTAAGCGACCCTGAACTATGTAAGTTACATAAGATTTAGCATACTTCAGCAGAAAAAAGACTTTCTGCAGACAATAATGGTACAAAGGTTTTGTTCTATATGAACTTATAAACAACACATATGTGACACGCTCTATCGAAATCAGTCGGAAGTCGCAACGGCTCATTTCAAAATAAACGTGGATTTGTGTAAAAAAATAGTTTTCGGGTGTTTTGTTTGATTTTAAATGAACAAAGTCTTGGCTTTCAGAATATGAAACTTTTATTTCCAAAATCACACGATAAATACATTTTTGAAGCTTGTAAAGGGAAGATGACAGCTCTCACTCGCACCCTGCTGTTCCGCAGCGCTGCTTCCCCTCCCTCCGGCTGAAATTATGAATGTAAGGCGTATAGTAATCATAGATAACACGGCAGGGTCCGTTACAGTTTGTTTTCATCTGATTTCAAATAAACAAAGTCTTGGCTTTCAGAATATTAAACTTGTTTCAGCAAATTTAGATGATAAATACAACTTTGAAGCTTGTAACGGCATAATTACAAGCGGAGAACGGAGTAACTTTACGTCACAGCAGGCATAACAACAGCCGGTGTTTCTCGAGTGTTTTCCCCGGGACACACACACACACACACACACACACACACACACACACACACACACACACACACACACACACACACACACACACACACACACACACACACACACACACACACACACACACACACACACACACACACACACACACACACACACACACACACACACACACACACACACACACACACACACACACACACACACACACACACACACACACACACACACACACACACACACACACACACACACACACACACACACACACACCACACACACACACACACACACACACACACACACACACACACACACACACACACACACACACACACACACACACACACACACACACACACACACACACACACACACACACACACACACACACACAAAAATATCTTCCCTCCGTAGTATTTGGATCATTTGCTAATAATCAGTCAGATCGATGGATTCCAGAGAAGAGGAAACTTTGAAGGCCTTTTTCTCAAAATGATGACTCGGTGACAGTCATTATATAATGTGACATATTTTGCTTAATATTTGGAGTATAACAACAATCCTGATATCATTAGAAAGCTAGGAATCTCCTCTTTCCAACAGTGTATACAACTCAAAATGTGTCTTCGGGTCAATGCGACTGATTTCGATGGAGCAGGTCACATATGTTTAACTCTACAATGTGGAATAAAATCTTTACAACATTTTTCAAAGTTGCAGTATTTGCCAGACGGCCTTACCCAGCCCCGAAGAAGACGATTCGCTGTCTGCCAGAGAGGAGGAGTCAGCCTGGTCATGTGACAGGCCGTCCATCAGGGGAATGGAGAGTTCTGAAGAAGGGACGGACGAATCATAGATGCCCGAATCACGAGGGGGCGGGACCTCTGGAAGTGAGTGGCGGCCTTCTTCTGCCTCAGTGTGGACAGGACACACCACGTCCTGCAGGATGGAGGGAGCGGAGCAGGAGGAGGAGGACTCTTCAGGGGACAGGCCAGATATGCCAGAAGTGGACCTGAAGGAACAGAAAAGAAAAATCCGTCAGACTGAGGAGGGGTCTCATATTATGCACAATTCTCGTTGGTCAAATACCATCCACAACCAGATTCCCGCACTTACATTCCCACGTCACTCAACAGTGACGTTGTCTAGTGGTCGTAGATGTACAGTGTAGGTTTAAGATGTTTCTTGAATAAACATTGCAGCTCATTAGACCCAAGTAAAGTTCCTGTGTATTTAGCAAAGTCAGACGAAAAAAACTACTGTGGTGTTACATCGTAATTTACCTTGAAGTGCTTCCCAGCATGGACAGGGAGCAGTGTGGCAGTCTAGGACTGGGACAGAGTCCAGGACTGGGACTAGGGCTGGGGCCCGGGTGTAGGCTGGGACTGGAGCCAGGGGCCAGCAGGAGCATGTTCCTCCCCGGGGCCCCCTCTCCACCCTCCAGGGACGGTGTATTAACAACAACCTCGTTCAGCACCAGGCCAGAGTCACACCTCCCCACGGACTGAGAGGAAGAGGAGGCGCAGGGAGGCTTTGGAGGAGGGTTAGGGTCAACCACTGGAGGGTGTTTGGAGGAGGAGGCTGAGGAACCTCCTGAAGGAGCCAGCTGCTTCTCAAACCAGTCTGGGTTCTGGCTGATGTGCTGGTGCATGTTGCAGATGGAGACATAGAGCGAGCGTCCGGACCGGCTCCTGAAGTAGTTCCTCCGGGACACGTTGTGAGGCTGAGACTCTCGATCAGACAGACTGGACTGACTGGAGTGGAGCCGGCTGAAGAGCTGAGGCAGCTGGTCCATCAACTTAAACCTGAACACAGGAAATAAAATGACTAACTGTTATTTGGAGCTCAGATATATAACAGCTCGGTTAATTATTTTGAAGAAAAGTATGCCAACCATTCCTGGATTGCTCGTAATAATATCTACACTACAGGAAATATAACTTAATCTCTGTCACTGACCGAAATTGTTGAACAATCTTTCAACAGATCAGTTTAATTTGTTTCTTTTTGTTTTGCTTCTTTTTGTTATTATTCTTCACTATATAATTGAATATTATATGAAATTATATTATTTTTTTATTGTCATGCCAAATATACCACACATTGCTCAGTAAATAAATTCCAAAATGTAATAAATATGTTTAAATAAATAATTAAATACATTTTGATCATGTGCAGTTGTTCATTTGACGTTTCTTTCCCCCCCCCCCCCCACTCTTGGGGTTCAGTGTGGCTGGGATTATGGCATACTGTATAAGAAACCAGCATCAAAACACATTTATTTTTAAACAAAATAAAGATCATCTTTTGTCCGACTTAATACCCATATCTCTTTCTAATTTACTTTAGAAGAACCTCTGTATGTTTTACCGCAACTTTCTTTGTTTCTATTCCCTTAATTAATGTGTTTAGAAATGCGTTTTCTCTATGGCTGCAACTAACGATCATCGCGATATTAATAATATTTATTATTATTATTTTCCAGATAAATTGAAAGCTGTAAAAATTGGCCATGTGTACATAGTAGGATCTGCTGTTTCTGTTATTTTGCCACAGAGTTGTGTGTACCTTGGGGCCAGGCTCAGCATGGTGGGGATGTCGTTTTCCGTGGAGTAGTCGAAGTAAACCGTCATGTAGCGCTGCAGCTCCTGAGATCCGCCCCCTTCACTTTGATTCGCCAATCGCAGCTTCTCAGCGATCATGGCCACGCCCACAATGAACAGGTCACTTCCTGATCCACCAATTGGGGAGCTGCTGCTGCTGTTACTGCGGCGACTGACTGGCGTCTTCCCTCTGCGGCTCTTCTTCTCCACGTAGTAGCTGCAGGAAGGAAATAAAGCAGCAATTTACTATTAATATCTTTATTGATTCTGCAAATCTAGATTAGATTGATTAATCGTTTGATTTATAAAACAAGTAAAAATTGTCCTTCACAACCAAGGTGTTGTCTGTGCATATCGATAGTTATAATAACTCTTTAATATTTTACAGAGAAAAGCAGGAAATCTCCATGTTTCAGAGGCTGATAACCACATTTTTATTGACAATTAAAAAAAAAAAAAACGACCTTAACAATTAATCAATGTTTCTCTTAAAAAAATAATCCTCTTAAACTGTATTTATTTTCTATTATGAGTGACAAAAAAACATTTTGTTGATGAACAGAGCATACCATTTTTCTTCTTATCGTTATTTTGGGTCATATACCGTCCATTATACATTTATTTTTCTATTTATCTGTAATTATTTCTGTCCTTGTTTAGCTGCAGCAACCACATGTTCCCGATTGGGAATCAATAAAGCTGTATCTCAATCTTAAATCGTTTTAGCAGCCGCTAGTGGACACTAGAGGAACTGCACTCCAGATGAAATCATCAAAAGTGCTGTTAAAAATAATAACACAGCAGACAGTAAAAAAGGAAAAAAAAGTACCGTAGGCCTTTGGAGCAGATGGTGATGATGAAGTCGGATTCGTCCAGCTGTCTGCTGAGCCACGACATCTGACCTTCTTTGCACATCTCCAGGTGTTCCCACAGGTCCAACACCACCTAAACACCAGAAACAACCATAACATACCCAAGCTTCAAAAAGGAAATTTGATTGATTTCATGTTAGTTTCAGTTCATTCACAATATGTTAAATTACAAGTGCTGCAGCAACTGCAGAAACAAGCTAAAACTGACATCCAAAATACTTGCGGTAAAAAAAATACAGCGACCCAATCACCCTCTCTTCAACCCCGCACACAGGTGAGCAGGTCATTATAACATGTATGAGTGCCGGCCATATCACAAAAAAACTAATTATATTGCAAACACATACAAAGGCTAATAACCAAGTATGAACCATTACACACCTTATTCATTTTACAACATATTTACTCTTTTAAGACTTGAAACATGGCTTTTACGAGTATGTACAAGCATAAGCAGGCACGTGCACACAGCCATCAAAGTGGGCCAGTATATCTACTGCAGTTTGCGCACAGGTTACCTTTCCAAAAATATATTGATTGAATACAAAAGAAAAATATCAGGTCGGGAGATTAGACTGTGAAGTTCCGATGCTCGCTCTACCCTCCCTCCCTCCCATCGGCAGTCACTTCAGACCGACAGGTAGCAGCACCTCCCACCTTACAGTCCCACGTTATGCCGGCTTTTCTTGGCTTGTCTGAAGGTGAGTGGTGATGAACAAATGACTAGGCTGCCAGTGCCTCGAGTTTACAGCTAATTAGCCAAAAGACAAAAACAAATATAGTTAACTAAGGTAGGCTACTAGCTAATGGATAAGCTAGCTCAAGGTTTAGCTAAGGCAATTTATCATGGGCATACAGGCTAATGTACTGTACTTAAGGGGAGACACTAAAGGTGAATACAGTAAAATGTGTATCTAATAACGTCATCACAATCACCACATTGATATGCAAATTAGGCGTTAACTAGGCCTGATTAAAATGCGCACATTTGCATGCAGTTACCAAGGCATTGCAGGTGAAAAGGATACAAAAAACTAAAAACATAGCACCTCACAACTTCCCCAGATAGTTACTTACGTCAAGTCAGTATTTTCCCCGGAAATGTTATGTTTAAATGCAGATTAGCTTTATATGTTTGAGAATAGGTGACATTAAGCCGATGGTATTTAAAATATGTTTAATAATAACATCTTCAATTTGAAAAAGCGTGTTATATATTATACTTAAGCTATTAGCCACAAGATGCCATAATTTACAGCTAAGGTGCATTGTTAGGCACACCTGGGTTTAATCAGAATAATAAAATCCATTTGGTCAGAAGATTTTAATGTTTATTATTTTCATATTTTATTATAGCAAATGTTTTCTCCTCTCTTCGGTTTAGTCGCAGTCTCACCTCACAGCTGCAGAAGTCCTGCAGGAAGTAGGCGAAGCTCTGGATGACGGCGATGTGTTTGGGGCAGTCTCTGTTCGAGTAACAGATGAAGACTTTGGGGCGGGGCCACGGCTTCTCCGGGTTCAATGCTGCGCTCTGATTGGACGACTCGCTGCTCTCCTCGTCCAGCTGGCTGTAGATGTTTTCTAAGAAGAGAGGAGACAAATAAACAATAAGGGTTAATGCATGACAATAATGTTACATAGAGCTCATTCTCAAATAATGAAGCATCCTTTTATGCACCAGTTTCAGTTCAAAACCAGTGTTGGAGGTTTTTAAGAATTTCATTGACATAACTACTCTGTAGCTATGGTTGTATGACTAATAAAGAACCTTGAACCTTGAACCTTGGAGTATTTAGGTTTACTTAAGTAAAAGTACTAATAGCAAAATGTCTGTAACTAAGTATGGGGGAAAAAAGCGCCATTCAAACCTCAAATGGTAAAAAGGTAGAAAAATAGTTGGATGCTCAAATAAAGTGGGTATTTAATGAATTTTTAGGATATAGGAACATTTATTAACTTATAAAGAAACACTTAATTCTTCAGGAATCAGAAAATCTTAACTTAAGCTGAGAAATGTAGAAAAGAAAACGACAATATTTCCCTCAAATTTAGAGGAGTATAAGAAGAATATGCTTTAAATGGAAATTCTCAAGTAAAAAGACAGTACCACAAATGTGTACTTGAGAAAAGTACCACCACTGCTCATTATTAAACAACCACTTCATCAACAAGTAGATGTTGAGGTCTTATTGAACCCTGCAGAGAGTTACTGAGACTAAGGCTGCGGCCCCACGAGGATGCATACGGTAAAACGCATACGCAAAAGCAATCGCAAAAAAGGCTTCCGTCCACACGCAATAGACACCGGAAAGTGTCTGTTCACACGAGACAGCTCCGTTTAGCTCCAACCGCTGGAAAAGCTGCAGTGCCGATCCTGTACTTGGCGCTGTAACTTCCTCCACCAAAAGCAGCGAAGAAGACCCCGGAGCATGGTTGCCATGGTTGCCCTTCTGTTTATTCTCCGCGGTGGACGGCGTGTGCTCCTGCTGTAATTCTCTCCGGTAGCCCACCAGCAGATGAAAAACACCCACCTCTCTGCCTCTTCCAAGGGACGAGGGAACCGTGCGGCAGTGTTTCCATTAAGATTTTTTTTCGCCGGTCAACATGTCCGTTAAAGTTTAAAGCCCAGTAGCTGATATCTGAGCAGGAGACGTGGGGAGAGGGAGACGTGGGGAGAGGGAGACGTGGGGAGAGGGAGACGTGGGGAGAGGGAGACGGGGCTATTTCCTCATTATCAGAAAATGATCGTATAGAGGCGATTACACGGAGCCGTTTGACCCCCCAGAGCGCTCCGTTTGCAGATCTATCCACCTTGGGACCCGTTATCGTTTGCGGGGTCCGTTTCTATCGTTTTGTTACGGCCTCGTGTGAATGAAAGGGCTATACGCAAGAGAAACTATGCGGATACAACCCGTTTCGTCCTCGTGGGGCTTCAGCCTAAAAGAGGCTGTAAAGTAAACACACAGTTTGAAGGAGATTTATAGATAGTGACCTAAAATAAGCAGTATAACCAATAACTGGTGCTCTCACCTTGCTGTTTCTTGCGACACATGACAGTGAAGAGAGTGGCAAAGGCAGACATGATGACCAGAGGCACGGTGATGGCCATGGCACGGATAGGCCCCGCCCAAGGGGAATGGACTGGTGACAAAACAAACGCACACAGGATGAGACAAGAACCTGGTCATTTAAAGTCTAGAGTCTAGACCATGTTACATTTACAGCATGAATGTGAAAGTGAAAACATCATGATACAGTAGCTAAAGCAGAGAAGAGTCATAACAGCAATGAAGGTGATTTGTAATGTGAAAAAGTTAAGTGTGTGTTTTGAACATGTTCCATTATGTCCACAAAATACAAGTAATAGCCTGAAAATGTACCTGATATGTCCCCTCTAATATTGGTTCAAACTTGATTTACTATATACAGGAGGAAAATTGTTCTGCAGCAGTTGCAGAGTTTTTGTGCGCGTGCGCGTGCGCGTGTGTGTGTGTGTGTGTGTGTGTGTGTGTGTGTCTCACCCTGGCTGACGTGGTACTGAGTCTGCCTCCTGGTGGTATTACTGTCGTCTCTTAGCTGACACAGAAAAGAGGAAAAGGTCAAAGAAGGAAGAGAATGAAGGAAACAAAAGAGAGAACAAATTGTTCACAACATGTTTGGACAAATTGATGTACATTTAAAAATGTAGATTTGTGTTTGTCTGATGAATCTGGTGTTTTACATTGTAGTCCACGTGTAAGCGTAAAAAGGAGAATCCAGTTTAACCAGTTATCGGTGTGTACATTAAGCTTTTGATGTACCTCTATAGTGTAGGTTCCTGGAGTGACGTCTTTGAGGATGCATGTAGTTCTGTACTGGTTCACATCCTTAGAGAAAAATTAAAACATTTCAATAAAAACGTAGCTTTTCCTGCAGGCAGAACCACAGTCTTATCATAGGTAAGACATCTCTATTGTATGCTGTATTAAGAATATTTCCCCCACTTTTTTGACGAAGAACTGAAGCTGTTATCGATGAACTGTTCAAAGCCACCGGACTCCATTAACAAAAACAGTAAATGTACCTTAGGAACATAGAAGGTGCCAGTCTACTGCTGCATCGATTGGTTATTTTGTTTGTGGTATCATGTGACTTTGGGGGTTCCAAACCAACAGAAAATCACCGAAACACATTAACCAGAGGGGGGCAGCAGTAGACCAGCACCCTCCCGGGTTCTGCCAGGTAAAATGACTGTTGTTGTGGATGGAGTCTGGTGGCTTAAAAGAGAGCTCTCTGATAACAACACTCTGTACGTACCGGTTTGCAGCGCTGCTGTCTGAAGGGTCCCTCCTGCCGCAGTTTGTAGTACAGGAAGTAGAAGTGGAAGCCGAAGGAGCTCGGCGCCTGGTCGAACCCCACGTGGAGGTTTGACCCCAGCTGAGACACGTTCAGGGTCTTTGGCTTCCAGTCTGCTCAGACAGAAAACAAACGTAACCTTCTTTATTGTGGACATCCATGAAGACTCAAAAACGTTTATGATAATTGACTAAACTTGACATTTATAATGCATGCAAAAATGGACATTTCCTGATTTTTCTGTTTTTTATTATAATAATCTTTTGGTTTTAGACTGATAAAACAAGATGATGAAAAAAATCTCACCATGGACTTTTATAAACTGGCATTATATAGACCAGGGGTACTCAAACTTTTGTATTAAAGGTCCACTTGTGAATTTTATACAAGGTCACTGGTCCGGATAAATGCCAGTAAAGTTTTTTTTATAATGGGACACAGTGTTCGGTCCGGAGTTTGAGAAGCCCTGATATAGACTAAACAATTAATTGAAAAAAGACTCTGCCGATGAATCGATAATACAAATATTGTTAGTTACAGCTCTATTGGAAATGTACTGTTTGCTCTTTTGGCAGTCCTAATGTATTTATTAAACGTGCCAAATAGCACAGTTTCAGCTTACATAACCAGGTTCTGTATTTAATCATTTATTTTGAGTTTGTTTATAGGTCATTTGATCATAATTTAGTAAGATGTCTACCTTTTACCTAACTGTTTTATTTAACTGTTTATGCAACGTTCTCCATACAAACTGTTGACCGGGTGAATTCAGTATAATGAACATTTCCAACAGTACTTAACACCTCTATGGTTTTAGTAACTAATTGTGAGTTTTGATTAAGTGATTTCTTCTTCAGAGATGTGGCAGAGATGACAGAACATGTTCCCTCTCTTTTCTGGTAAGCTTAAAATGTGAAACACCTGCACCAGAAATGAATATATACAACTTAGATTTGAAAATAGCAGTTCCCTTATGGTGTTCATTGGATTAAAAGCTTGTAATTGCTCCAAGCACAGAGAAAAAATGTGTTGGCTCTTTTAGGCATAAAATGAGTTTTGAGAAATGTTTTGTATCTTCTCTTTAAAACAAAACAAAGATCAAACCCTCCACTAACTCTATCTCTTTCCTCTCGGTGCACATGTGGCTTTAGTTATGACGACGACACTGAGGAACTTACATGGTTTGCAAACCAGGTTGTCTGATCCCAGGAGGACTTCACACGCTGTAAGATAAACACACACATGCAGAAATGGTTACACAGTTGTCTGGTTTTGTTCTTATCTCTATATCACATATGTTAAAGGAACAGTCTTGACAACTTGGGCAAACATTTGTGTCAGTCTTCCTCAGATGGATAGCAGTTTCATCTCTGTTCCCAATGCAGAGAAAAGTCCAGGATGTGTTTACGCTGAAGCTTTGATCATACTGAAGTACAGACGCAGTCAGCGGACACACAAACATTTCTTTACAAACTACAATCGAAGGTCTGCCATACATTAGCTTCACATTAGCATAAGGCGTAAAACAAATCAACCCTCTAACAACTCTTAAGCTGTCCACATGTTCTGTCTTGAACACTCATTTTCTAATTTCTGCACAATACTACCACTTTTAAATTCAAATACATTGCCAATTTTAATTTTCAGTCGTTTGTGAAATTTGTATTGTATGCCCTTTTTTGGAGATATATATTTTGTTATCTTATCGTTTGTGCAACAGTTTTTATGGTGTTTCTATATATTTTTTCTTTATTTATATTTCATGTGTTTATGAAAATAAAGCTTAGCCTTAATCCTCCTCCGTATGATCCAATGGTTTTCCATCGGTATATTAAAGTTGTGTTATCTGTAACAGATCTTACCATTACATAGGTGGAGGCTTCAAATATGCCAAGAGCATTTTTCTGCTTTCCTGAACTCTGTATCATTTGCTATTTGTGTCATGTGTGTGTATTCATGTATCGGTAACCCTGAAAGAAGAACTCACAGTTGGTCCTGAGGAAGGATGGAGGGAAGAAGCTCTCGTTCATCAGCGTTGGGAAAGGAACAACGCGAACCATGTAGTCAGTGTCAAAGGTCAACCCGCTGAACGTCTGACTGCTCAGCCTCTGCATAAAAACAACAACAATAAATCCACGATAAATAATTACAAAATGTGAATATTTCAATATATAGTAGTGTATTAATAATCATATTGCTATTGATGCTTAAAAGTAGAATATTGCTCAACATGTACTGTTGAATAAAGCTTTTTGAAACAGTGTTGCAGATGATGTTTTGTGGTACCGTGTTCTTGTAGGAGCAGTTGAGCTGTCGGGGGTCTTTGAGCAGGAGGTGCTGACACTGCTTCCCCTCGGGGTTCTTGTCCTCCAGGTAAACTCTGAAGCCTTTAATGTGCTCAATCCCTGAGGAGACACAACAGCAAGTTCAAGGATACATATCCATCCTGGTCTCTTTCCTCCTCTCCTCTCATTTCCTCATTCTGCTGTCTGTCTATCTTTTTGTTTCCTTCCCTTTGCTCTCCCTATTTGCTTCCTCCCCTGTCCTCATCTCCTCCCCATGTTTCATTTCTCCTCCTCTCCTCCTCTCATCTCCACCTGTCTGATGCTGGTTTCCTTCGCTTTCTTCCTCTCCTCCCTACATGTCCCTTCCTTTCATCTCCCCCTTGTTTCCTTTCCCCTACTCCTCTCTTCTTCTCTCCTTGCCATGTTTCTCTTCTTCCTCTAATTATTCCCTTCCCTTCCCTTTTCTCCTTTCCCCTACCCTCACATCTTTTCTTTCTTGGATGCCCCCCCCCGTTTCCTCTCTACATTTCATGCCCTTCTTCTCCCCTTGTTTTCTTTCCTTTCATCTCCTCCTATCTAGATTTCCTTTCCTGTTCCCTTTTTTCCTTCTTGTCCTCATATCCCCGTTACCTTTCCTTCTTTCTCACATTTCTTCTCTTATTTTCCACAATAATCTCCTCTCTTTGTTATCTTTCCTCTCTCCTTCTTCTCTAGTTGTTTCCTTCCTATTTGTTCCTTGTATCTCCCCTTGTCTTCTCCCCTATCTTTTCTCTCCTCTGAACTCCTCTCTTTGAAAACACGTCTGTCTTGTAATTACACCTTTACATACACATGTTTTTCCTATTAGCTCTGTGTGGAGGGGAGAGAAAGAAACAGCGAGGAGAAGAAGAAGTAAAACAGGTTTTCTGCCTCGAGGCGGATTCCTGAACACCTCCGTCTCTCTGCTGCGGAGGCCAGGACAGACGTCGAGACATTTGCATATTAACATGAGCCGCAGTGTGACGGCAGGCGTGTGCTACTTTTTGTTATGTATTGCTTCCCTTCAGTATCATTTCAGGTTGTGTCTACATATGTTTCAGCTTCATACTAAAGATATTCTTTAATGACCATACTATCTACAGAGGTAGAACAAGACATTTCAATGCCATTATTTGATGGATGTTTGCTTTCAATGATTTATTCCTTCATAATAAAAAAAATTGAAACCCAAAATGAAACGCGTTATTCTTGCTTAACACACTTTTAGTTTTGTTTGATCGGTCTTTTTAAGCTGTACTGGGTTTGAGAAACTCCCTCTGGAGGGAGCACAGGGTTTAAGCCTCAGCAGACCCTTTGCATGAACACAACTTATATAACACACTACAGGAAAGGAAAACCCCCAAAAAGCATAAAAGGGTCTCTTTAAGAATGTATTTGATGTTAATGTCTTGTCTAACAAGTGGAACAAATCTCCAAAAATAGGAGAGAAATAATTGCAATATAATAAGGATCATATGCTTGTTAGCAAGTAAAAAAAATGTGTTGTCGTATACTGTGACGGACAAATTGTCATACAACTAGTTGTTTTCAGTGTATATACAGGTATATGCATGTTCAAGATACTTCATTTCAGTCAAATTGTTTTAGAAAAATCTGAATATGTATTTAAAAAATACGATAAAAGATAACATTTGACTATCACGTCCAGTTTCACTTCATGTGTATACATATTTATTCTGCCTTCAGCAGGGTGTGATAAACCAAGGAAACATACAGGCACTTTGCATAAAATCCAAACTTTGTTTTTTAACTTTGCGCTTTGCAAGAAGAAAGAAGTTGAACAGGTTTTTGTAAGAACATTTGACAGATTTTTTCCTCCTCAGATGACTGATTCTGGCTGCTGCTCACATGCGACTGTGACATGGAACATTTCTGTCTCTCTGGGAGAAAACAAGGGGCCGCATTGTCACAGAGAAAGGGTCACCTTACAGTCGGACGCACACACACACACAATTGAACACACATTCCTTCACGGTCAAATCAAGGTATTGTAGTGTGAGATGTGATCCTCTTTCTTAGTCCCCGAGCCTGATCAAAGGGAGGGACACACACACACACACACACACACACACACACACACACACACACACACACACACACACACACACACACACACACACACACACACACACACACACACACACACAAGCACTTTGAAGGTTTTTCTTTCCTGCTCTTCCTCGAGGGGTTTAGGGAAAAAAGGATTCATGTGAAAATCCAGATGATTTTCTTCTAAGTTTTACAAAAATATCACAACTTCCCAAAAACAATTTTGAAAACTTTTCTTAATATTGCTACTGATGAACAGTAATCCGATATAGCAAGTCAAAGTTGTATCAAGCAAATTATCAGCTTTATTGTTTTTCTTGGTATAACTTGAAATAGTTTTTATTAAAGTCGTTGTTATCAGTTGATATAAAACCTACATACTCTTATACACACTTTACTCTGCTTCTCCAGAAGTGTTTTTAATTCAAGTTGTGAGTGTTACGTGCTGTGGTCTCTCTCTCTCTAATTGTCTCCCTCTAGGTACCGCCTCCCGTGGGTGCTCCCTCATAAGGGCCTGGGGATAAAGGGCTGTGGAGAGCTGCAGCATGCGGGCCATTTGTCAGCTTGTTCCTTGCGTGTTGGTGTGTCTCCACACAATACGTTTGATCTGTACTTTGGAGTCTTTGTAAAAGAGTTAACCCTTACTTCATCAGTGTCGCTTTCTGTCTTTATAGAGAGTGGTTGTCAGTTGGCGTTTTGAAATTGTTTAATAAACATTTTATTAAAGGAAATAGTAAGCTCATTTTCAAGTTCATATTTGTATTTAGTTTCTCAACTGTGACATGTCTCCATGCTTTAATGTTCAAACAGTCTTTATTTGTCCCATACTGCAGCACCTCTTTTCACCTTCTGTCAGAAACCAGAGCTCAGTCTGCTCTGATTGGTTAGCTGGCCTGCTCTGTTGTGATTGGTTAACCGCTTTGAGATGTCCCGCCTCTTAGCCTATCACATGCAATGTGTTGGAGTGCTAGCCAATAGAAGCACGAATGTAAAATAGTGATGTCATTATGTTTTTGGAGAAGAAGGAAAGTTGGAGAAGCATGTAAACACATAGAACAGACAGACAGACAGACAGACAGGCAGACAGACAGACAGGCAGACAGGCAGACAGGCAGACAGACAGACAGACAGACAGGCAGACAGGCAGACAGACAGACAGACAGATAGACAGACAGGTACCTAGTGGACTTGCAGACCAGTGGACAATGACAGCAGCCTGATCCTCGCAGGCCAGATGGCTGAAGGAAACGTTGGCGACCTCGTGGATAACATGTTTTCCCAACGGGTAGTTTATTGAACAATCTGAAGGGAGAGAGACAGAAAAATTACATACTTAAACGGTTGCACAGATCAGCATCGTCCTCTGCTTTTATTATTTTACTTGAGGAATCAGAATCCCAATTTAGAAACATTTTATTTGTGTAGTGAATTAGAAGTGTGAATGAACCCAGAAAAGTACATAACCTGCTGTATCTCCTCTCAGGTGAAACTATCTAAACAAACGATGACGCACAGAGCGGTAAACCTTCTGTTGGTCCCTGAATGCAGCACGGAAGAGCTGTTTTAATTGAGGATTGAAGTGTAGAGATTACCAGGGTTTTTGCAGGGAATGTCAGATCAATGTTCTTACTAAATGTGTATGTGTGTGTACGCTTCCTCCTGTTCCCAACATGTCTCTTGTTTTATCTCATGAATGACGAAGAGGCAGAGGAAGAGGAGGAGGAAGAGCAGCCAGCCATGAACGGAGAGGGATCGGAGGAGAATGGCTGGATTTAGAATGAAGAAAGAAAAGAGGCGTGAGCTCAGACACGACTGACTGCTCCTCTTTCCTCCTGCCAGCCACCTATTGACGGAGAGGATTGAGGTGAGGAAGAGGAGGAGGAAGAGGAGCTTTATAAAAGGATGGAGATGACAGGGAGGAGGTTAGGATGCGATACGAATCACTGCCCCTCTTCCTCTCCTCCTCTACAAAGCAGGGTCATGTTCAGGGCTAAAGGAGAAGGTCACAGCTGGTCGCTCCTCTTCCTCCTTCGTCATAAAGCTTATTTATCTTCCTCTTTTCCGTCTCTTTGCATTCAGAATGTATTTATAATACAAAGGAGGAGAGGAAGAGGAGGATAGAGGGCCACAGGAGGAGTGATGGATGAGGAGAAAAGCCTTCGTCTTCACCATCATGCTCAAGAATGTCAGTAGTATCGTGACCATACCATAAAGCAGTATATTCAATCTGTATGGGACGATGGGGAGAAGCTGTTCATCTGCGAAGAGGCTTCTTTTGAAAGGAGGTGAAGACACAGATGATAACTTACAGTTTAAGGAGGAAGAGGAATTTAGAATAGTGGCTCTTCTTCATCTACTTTTCCTTGTCTCCTTAAAAGTGAGTTTCTGAGTAATGTGATTTTGGTGTGGTATGGTAACTGACTCTAAATACTACAATCACCTTGAGACTCAGCTGCTGTTAATGTAATGGAAAAGAGCCAGTTTGAGATTTTAATGTAATTGATAGTAAAACCTGACTTAATTTAACACCTTAATGTTTATTCAGGTTGTGCACTTAGCTTAAGGAAGAAATACAATCTTTAACAGAAATCATGTCATTTAGCTGTTTCACACCCACACACCACACACACACACACAGCACACACACACACACACACACACACACACACACACCACACACAGCACACACACACACACACACACACACACACACACACACACACACACACACACACACACACACACACCACACACCCACACACACACACACACACACACACACACACACACACACACACACACCACACACACACACACACACACACACACACACACACACACCACACACACACACACACACACACCACACACACACACACACACACACACCACACACACCACACACACACACACCACACACACACACACACACACACACACACACACACACACACACACACACACACACACACACACACACACACACACAACACACACACACACACACACACACACACACACACACACACACCTAATCTGGTTTTAAGGACCGGATGCCTGGTCATCTTAAAAGTCACATGACCTTCTGACCCCTGACCTTCACATTACTGATGACCTAATATGTCTTTCAATTAGATTGAATGGAAATGAATGGCTTTTCTTGAGATTAGTAGACGTGGGAACAGCAGAAAGGACTGAATAGTCACGTTGTATTTAAAAAGGAGCACTTCGGGGAATAATCTTATTTGCTAACAGTTTGATAATAAAAGATCGATACCGCTCAATCGCTGTCATTTCTGCACAGTAAAGTAATTAGCTAAGCTTAGCATAAAGACTGGGAACAGAGGGAAACAGCTAGCCTGATTATTAGACTTGTTTCCATGTTACTTACTAAACTTTGTTTTATGATATTGCTCTGTTTTCATTCATTCTTTTCTTTTTCTTTTGATGGTTTACTTGCAGTTTGATTAAGGGTTTGTTGCAAGAACACACAAACTTTCCAGACACTTTCCACACACACACAGTAATCTGAAAGTGCTTCTCGCCCACGGTCACAGACAAAGGCAGGAGGCAGGGATCGGCTACGGCTCAGGAACTTGACTTTTAGAGAGAAAAGAACAAAAGAGGAAGGGGAGGTGGAAGCGCGGAGGGTGAGGGGGCTTCAGGTTTTCATGCTAACTAATGATGGGAAATGAAAAAAGGCTCTGCTCTAATGTGTGATGAGAAGAAACTACACATGGATTTGGATGATGTTCTAGGAGATCTCAATGTTAATCGCATGTAGGCCGAGCTGGAAGTCAGCAGGGGCTCCCCGACAAAAAGCCAAAGGTTCTTTTCATTCCATGTTGTAACATTGCAAAAAGTAAGACCTGTGGCCAACATGTTTATGATACTTACACATATTGTTCAGCAGTATAATCTCCACATATCAACATCACATTGAAGTATAAATGCAATCACCAAAAGTAAAAAACTAACATGAGGCTAAACAAACTACAGCAGTCACATGACTTCACGTCACCACCGTTAAACTAAACGCGGCTAATGTTCGCCTTGATGGTGTTTCATAGTTTATTCAGTGACTTAGAGCAACCGCTGTTTTGAAGACACATACTGACATTCTTGAGTGGGGTATTTATTGAAGTATTTGATGTCATAGAAGTGAAGATCTCTTTGGCTTGTGTTAACCACAGACCTCAGTTCACACATCTAACCAAAAACACATCCAGATGAGCAAACCAGAAGTGCTAAGATTTCCTGTTTGTTTTTTTTAGACCGACATGACAATCCCCTCTTCCTGCATTAAGATAACTCAGTTTTTATTTGTCATTTTTTGATAGCAAAAGATAAGGTTGCTACGTTGGTAGTAATTGTGCAGATGAAGAGAATTAAAGAGGAACTCACTGTCAGCTCTGAGGGTGACGGCCAACCTGGGGCCGCCGTCAGCATCAGACTGCACCTGAAAGAGAGACATTTATACAATTGAAGACACTTTTTCAATAACGCACATTGTTAAAGGAATGTTCAGAGAGAAAGACAGACATTCAAAATACATTCCCAAATAACATTCCCTGCAGTTAATGACTACTTTAAATCTTTTTCTTTTAGGCTACTCCATCATTTTCATCATTTCTTTCCCCCATTCACATCAAACAAAGAAAATAGCTGCTTTCGGATTGAAGGCACACAATAAGGCAGATTGTTTTGTATTGTTTTACTGCCTGTAATATACGTTTTGTTTTATGAGAAAAAGGACATGTATGGACAAATCAATAAATAAAAAGTAAAGATGAATTGGATATATATTGGATTTTTCAATACCAATATTAGGGAGGAAAGATATTTATATATACAAGCTGATATTCTAATATTAAGAAGAATTACTAAGCTCTTTTCATTAAGAAAAAGTAACAGTACTACATGGATTCAATGCTAAATACTGTCAGAAGTAAGAGTCCTCCATTCAATATTATACTTAGGGTAAAAGTAGTCATTTTAAGAGAGCATATATTATAGTCATTGTGGGGATCGGTAACTACATATACTTAAACTAGTACCGGTACTTAGAATTCTGCAGTATCAAATGGTAGTTCTGGTAAGGAAAACAATCTTTAGTTGCGGCCCTCTTGGCATGTTGCTAACACTTTAGGTTCCCCTCTCTTTGGGCCAATAGTAGCTCAGTCCATGGTGACTTGGCCTGGTAACCTGAAGGTTGCCAGGCCAAGTCCCAGACCAAGAACAAGGCGGGTCAAGTGCAGGATCCTCGTCCAAAAAAGAAAAAACCCAACTTGGACTCAATAAAGTATAACTGATTTAATAATCTAACTGACCAGAGGAACAACAACAAGTGGCTGCTTGTTTGAAATCTTTCATAAACATTCCCTGGATTAAGTATTTCCCATATAAGCTTTATGAAACACAAAGGAGAGCAGATAGAGTGAGACACGGTGAGGAGTGAGATACATGGAGGTGTGAACATTGACTGCTTTTTTCTGGTTCCACACAACAAAGACGTGGAGTCTCATGAGGTATGTTTCTGAAGTTTTACAGCTTTGACCTTGTTTTCATGTTGCCCTGACACACACACACACACACACACACACTCTTTCTCCACCTTGTTACAGAGGTGTCAGTCTGTGGTCACACAACAAACATAGACACACACCTGAAACCAATCAGACAGACTCCCCACTGCGTGTGTGTGTGTGTGTGTGTGTGTGTGTGTGTGTGTGACAGAAAGTGTGCCATGCTAATTAGCAGTCACTATGCCCCAACAACCCATCCACACACACGTTTGTAATTATATACTTGTGAAGACCCTGCATTGGCAGAATGTATTCCCAGGACCTTCAAACGAGCACTGACATGGAACCACATTGTAACCATCTACAGCCTTTTGAAGAAGCGGGGATCGGAACAAATATGTTTTTAAAGTGGCCTTTATTAAGATAGAAATACACACAATTTTCCATTGACAGAAATGGACTCAGCTCCAGAAGGCACATTATGCAGTTTGACAAGAACAGAGGCTTTTTAAATACAAAGTGATTTTTTTTATGGTAGTAGACAAACTTATCAATTTAGTCTAATATTTGGTCAGATAATTTTCCTTTTACATATAAATTCCACTTGAAATCATCAACACTTTAATGGTGTCCCTTTTCCAACACACACACACACACACACACACACACACAGCCTCCCCTGCTGACCTTTGACCTCAATGGGTTTACATGCTGCTGTGTGCGCAGACATCCCGCTGGCAGCATGAAATGGGGGCTGATTAAAATCAAGGAAAGCTTTCTGACCGCACAAAAAAAAAGTGCACTCCGTGATTGGCTGCACTGAAACACTTCCCGGACAACCCCCCACCAAAAAAGTTCTGGTGCCACTTTTTCCTGCAGCATGTCATGGTAAAGACTCTGAGACGAGAATGACCTGAAGGGTTTCAGAAAGATTAGGATACTATGGTGGGCTATATGGTCAGAATGTTCTATCCCAATATCTGTCATTTGGAAAATGCAAAATCTCAATTGGCACACACTTGCACATACAGTGACATCAAGTCTTTGCATTCAAGTCTGTAACCTTGTTCAAAAGGCACCTCTCAAAGTACCAGTCCATAATCCATTCTTGTCTGTTCTGGTCCCAAGCAAAGTCCCTCCAGACGGAGCTACTGTCGCACTTTGGATAGTAACCATATGTATGAATATCACGATAGGTAATTGTACTGTATGGTTTAAAATAACCATACAGTATACACATCAACAAACACTGTCAAAATAAACTACTTTACAAATATCTGGTACTCATGTAACCGTAGTTCTTCTTTGTCTAGCTCTGCATTTAAAACACATCACTCTGCATTCTGCGTTGCGCTGTATATACCGTCATATTGAAGGATTCTGAGGGAGAGGAATAACCAGTGACTTGAAGATCCTTGTGAACAAAGTCCTGGTGGGATATTAAAACCAGTGTTGAAAAGTACATTAACTCAAGTATTACTTTTAAATCAGGAAGGTTACTTGTAAAAGAGTACTTTTGGAACAAAGAATTTAAAGTTTTAATTAAGAAAATGATTGGAGTCCTTCTTCCAACACTGAAGAAAACACATGAACACACTATGGTACAATAATCAGCTTTTTCTTTTAGGTCATCTTTTCACATTATCATCATCCTGCCTTGAATTTTCTTTCTGAATCTATTATTACATTTCTTTATTTTTACGTGTGAAGCAGTTTTGAGAATATTTTGTGAGGAAACGTCTTGAAGTCGTAATGTTAGTATCGTGACACAGACTCCTTCATCTTTACAACTGACAATTTTCTCCCTTCCTGTTGCCAGGTGTTTCTGACTAGTAATAATCATTATTACACACACGCACACACACCAACGCCCTGAGGCCTGAATACCCTCAGACTCATCAGTAGACAAAGAAAAAAAGAAGTCCTAAAAGAAAAAGAAAGAAGAGAAAATAACAATTCATTTCAAGTAACAAAAAAGAACTTGCAGCTGAGCGTTTTTCACTTTTGAAAATGACTACAAAGAACAGAAGAGAACTACAGATCTAAAAAACACAGGGAAACTTGAACCCTAAAGAAAGCAGACTTTCCCTTGGGAATCCCCAAACACACACACACACACACACACACACACACACACACACACACTTCCTGCAGTAATCAGAAAGCTAATTGCAGGCTAAGCTAGTTGAACATCAATGGATCAAATTGCTGGAGGTAAGGAAAGAGCGAGGCAGCACAAGGAAACAGGGGAAAAGGAAGGAGATACAGCAAAAGGAGGATTCAGAGGGGGTGGGGGGGGGAGTGAAGCATTATGGGAGAGGTAATCAGAAGCCCAGCAGAGAAGGAAGGAAGTGAGAAAGAAGAGATGGAGGGATCTGATTAAACAGGAACTCCTTCAATTACAGCTTTCAAGGTTCACGTAGCAGACTTCTCCATCTCTCTCGTTTTGTTTTGTGCGAGCAGACCAGTTCCAGATGTGGGACGGAGACCACAGGACAACCTCACAGGCTGACCTTTAAATCAACAAACAGCTCCAACGGTGCTGTTTGGGGAACCAGCATTAGAGCTGGGTACTGAGCTTTTTAAATTGTTGGTAAAGACTGAAATTGTATCTGATCACAAAAAGATTCACAATTCTGTTCACTTTAGCTGCCAGTATCCTTTATCAGCTCCTAAGGATGTCATGAGAACAGATACTTTTGTACAAAGTCGACTGCAACATTGGCCAGTACTTGTTTCTGAGAGTACCAAAAGTAAGACAGATCCTGGCATCAGAATCAGAAACTGTATTTATCTTCAAGACTCACGGCGTCCCGTGGGCAAAGTCGATGAAGGTCTAATCCATGAGAAAGCCTTTGGGCTATAAAACTCAGCCCTGTTTGTATTAATGTCTTCCTGTCTCACACACACACAAACACTACCATATGGGACGGCATGGCTGCACTGAGATATCAGAGTGTGTGTGTGTGTGTGTGCGTGCATATTTTGGTGGGGGGTTAATAGCCAGCAACACCAGATGCATGAGGTCCAGTTGAAGTTATATTGTGATATACATGTTGGAGCTATGCATTGTTTTGGATTATTTAGTAGTTAAGAATGTTATTTATTGCTGTGAAGTATAGAGTATTCTAATAATTATTCAGTGTCATTATTTTGTGTTAATTAGTTGTTTATGCTTTTGTTTTAAAGGCAGCTTCAGTCAAAGGGTATTTGGTAGTTTAGTAATGATCTGGCACCAGATAGGCATGGGTTTCTTTTACCAGAGCAAGAGAGGATGTAAAACTAACAAACCTGAGAAAATAAACTGCACATAGTAAGTTCTTGCCAGGACAATAAACCTGCGTAAGATTTCCTACCTGGTGCATGTGGGCAGTTTGATGACATTTTTTTGTTTTTTTTTTAAATAATTGAGCTTCACTATAGCCCGTCAGAAATCTATAGGTGACTATGTCGATATTTTATACAGTTAAAGGTGGGGTAGGTAATTTTGGAGAAAACGGCTCGAGATCGCTAGAATTTGAAAATACACAACCGGAGAAAATCTGCCACTTCCTTATAGAGCCCCTCCTCCAACACACACGAACGCGCACATGACCAATGAGGGCACGAGATAAGTTTGTGCACAGATGGAAGGCTGACAGGCAGGTAGGCCATCCAGTTATTTTAGCCGCGCCGGCTAAAATGATTGGTCGTGCTTTTTACAGTACTACGGCTTCCACAGATGACATTTTTTTATGGATTTGTTGTCAAAGCACTTAAGATATTCATTGCTATCGGGATGTTAAGAGCATTCCATGGAATATAACAAAAAGTGTATCTCGAGCCGGTTTCTCAAACTTACGTACCCCACCTTTAATTAGCCATACAGATTATTTTCAATCCTATATATAAACAGGAAATACATTTCCCACAAAGAATAACATTTTCATCCTTA